GTTCCAGGCAAAGTCTTGCAACTTCCCTCTCCTAGAAGAATTGGACTGGGAAATGACGTGCCAACCTGTGAGGGGAGTTTGATTACGGCCCGCTCCCTCAAGGTGTCACGAAATGGGAGAATTTTATGAATTCTTGCTTTCCAAGCGACCCAAAGGCGAAGGCGGATCCAACTTATTGGAGGTTCGAAGGGTCCGTGATGTGAACTTCTCTGTTGCAGCTGGCGGCGGAAGGGCGGTGCGTTTCATCAGCCAGGTTTGCATTCCATGCACTTAATAGCAAGAATGCTACTAGTAGTAAGGCCAGGAGCCCCTAGTAGCTTCTTGTTCCTAGTAGCAATGCCAGGAGCCCCTAGTAGCGTCGTTGGTTCAGTTAGTTGGGGAAGTCTCCATAAGTTCCGGGGATCTCAGGGAGAAGTTGTCTAGTAACGGATGCAAACACATGTAGCCTAAAGAGGACCTACAGGTAAGTTTGCGTTCTTTTCAAATTCTGGTAAGAGAAAGGACAACACAAAAGGAAGGAACAATCAAGTGATCCCCATTCTGAAAAGCGATTTGGAAGAAGGCAGGGCACATGTATTGACAAAGTATCTTGAACAACGACATGAGCACTTTGATTGATGTAGGAATGTGGCTGAGCTGTGCTGCTTCTACTTTCACCTTTGGCTATTGGGTTGCACAGCCGGGTTGAGGCGCATGGACGCTGTCGCAGTGTGGCCAGTGGCTTCTATGAAGCACGTGCATGTTGCATCCTTCTTTGGATTTGAGGTGCTCTCTTCAGCTGGTGCATCTTACAGAGTTTTGCCGAGTTTTGCGTGACCCCTCCTCCATTGCCTCACTTCCTCTGCTAGGTTTGCAATTTGATTTGTTTCTGGCCATCATTCTCGACAGCGCTGCCCGTATTAAGCCATGCGGTGGTTAGACTGTCATGGGTGAGCTCAGAGACTGCCAATCTTCAGGGGTGTAGTGAAGTGTGATTGGACAACTTTTCTCTAGCCATAACTCTGTATCTAAAGCGTGTTCTTGCAAAAGCCAAATCACTCGACCACCTGTGCATTCCGATTGCAACCAGCAATGTTGCTTAATACGCTCTCTGCTTATTAGTAGACTGTACTACCTGCTTGTGCAGGCACCTGCGCGTGTGCTTGCCCTCCTCTCTAGCAAAGAAAGGCGAGAATATATAGTCGTAAAGGGTAGCATTCAGAAGGTGAGCTGTTCTGCAGTCTTTGTGCAACACTAAGGCCCTCCGATGCAATTAAAAACATCACATATCATCATGTCATTGGAAACCCAAGTGCCTATCCAAGGGCTATCTCATGCTGCTTTAACTACAGGATTCCATGAATGCAACCAAAGTAAATGTCTTTATCTTATATGCTGGAGTGCTCTTGCTGCATGACAAAAGCCAGGCCTAAACGTTCCAACGTGCCAAAGGAACCAAAGGACTTCATTTTGCACCTCACAGTCCACTCAAACATCCCAGCTCATTGTCGCGGAGATAGCCATCTTTGAGAACACCAAAAAACACGTTGTCAACCTTTGTTATACATATATATATATATGTATTCCTGTTAAACAAAGTTTTGCAACGACCTTTGGACGAAGTACATTCCCCTGTTGCCTCATAGGAGCACCCATAATGCCGAGCAGCAACTTGTCAAATCGCTTTGGCTTTGAGGATGGAGAAGCAAGCTTCTCCTGATTGCATTCAACTGTGCAAGAAAACAAACGGCAGGATCTGTGGTTTCTCTGACGATGTCAACGGCAGGATCAAGCTGAAACACTTGGCCTCTGCTTCTGGAGGATCTGAGGATGTGATTGACTGGGACGAGGCAGCACCCATCTTTGGCTACAGCTCAGCGTGGGACACATGGGGATTTTTTTACGAGCCAAAAACAAATAAATGAACGAGTAAAATCAGCGGTGCCTGCTGTGTTCGTGATATTCAACAATTTCTTGCCATGCCATTATGTCAAGCATCTGCAGAACACTGGAGTGGACACTCTGAAGAAAAATAAGATGATTGCTGTTTCAGGTAAATCAATGTCTGAGAAGCGTTGCTTGGCTCAAGAAAATGCGCGGAATTCGCCAGTCACGAAGCTTCTCAGCAAGGTCCCTTTTGAAGGCATGGATAACAAATAAGCCTGACACCACAGTGTGTAAAACATATTGTGTGAACATCGTGTAATACAGGGAAGTTCCTCGATGTAGGCCTCCTGCAACAGTCAGGATTCTGCCTCTTAGCTGGTCAAACATTAATTCTCTGGATAAAAAGGCCTTCCCTGTGAATCTTGTGAAGGGAGGTCACCTGCTGAGCATTGCTAGGTACAGTATATAAAATCCCCACCCCTAAGGGGGGGGGACCTGTCTAAATGTAAGCTACGTTTTTTGCAACTTTGGGCTTAAAAAATGTAAGTTACATTTTCTTAGGGACACCTTAAAAAATGTAAGTTACATTTTTTGAATACATGTAAACTACATTTTTTGAGGTTCCGTTTTCTTGACGCCTTTCTGTGTTTTACCTTTTTCCTCTAGACCGTCTTCCTTTTCTTTCTGCTATTTTTAAGGCTGACAGAAGCATGCAGCATGCATGTAAAGTAAATTTTTTACGGTTTCGTTATTGTTATGGTATGATTTGCTATTTTTTCTCAAGCCTTTTGGCAACTCCAAAGCTTGACCTTTTGGTAGCCTTTCCAGGTGGCTTTGGGGAACCTGCCTCCATCCTTCGGAAAAGGAAAGCCATACCAAAATCATATCAAAACTATATCAAAATCATAACAAAACATAAGCGTTACACGTTTCTTATGGTTTTCTTAGGACCCAGCCACCCTGGCCATCTCCTACCTCCACAACCCAACCTAGTTTCAAGCCCTTGAGCCATTCCAAGGCCTTTTGACCTTTTGGTAGCCTTTCCAGGTGGCTTTCAACTTTCCATACTGATTGTTTTTTCCCATGTGCATCCTTAGTTCTGTAGATATTTGTAGCTTCCAGATGTTGCCTTTCAATGTCTAGGTACATACCACCGGTTTAGGGGCGTCCCAAAATGTAGCTTACATTTTTGGAGGTTCCGTTTTCTTAACGCCTTTCCGTGTTTTCCCTTTTTTTCCTGCAGACCTTTCTTCCTTCTCTTCTCGTTTTTTATTGTATTTCTTCCCTTCTTCTTAGATACCAGTGGGCCCTAGGGCCATTAACGGCTTCCTGACGAAGCCGCTCATGAGAATCTGTTGCTGCATTCTACTGCTGGTTTCTTTCTTTCAGTTGCCATTTGACCGTAGGGTCTTTGCATGGACACTTTCTTGGCTGCTTTTCCCGGATGCATCTTTAGTTTTGTAGTTTTCATATGGTGCCTTTCAATGTCTAGGTACATACCACCGGTTCAGGGGCATCCCAAAATGTAGCTTACATTTTTGGAGGTTCCGATTTCTTAACGCCTTTCTGTGTTTTCCCCTTTTTCCTCTAGACCTTTCTTCATTCTCTTCCCGTTCTTTTCTGTATTTCTTTCCTTCTTCTTAGATACCAGTGGGCCCAGGGCCATTACCCGCTTC